ACATTGGGCCTCTACTCAAGTCCTCCCTCAACACAAGAACACTTTGTTCTAATAACCTGGCATTCTGTGATGCTCACCTTTCCAACACAATTGCTGAAGGCAAAATGGGTGCATAAGTTAATGTGGTGAAGAAAGCTGATGATGTCCGGCTATTACAAGATACAGCACCTGGGTTCTTAAAGGCTTGAAGTTAAACAAGCAGCCATCTAGCAACAAAACCCACATGGAAGAAGCATACCAACCCATATGATCACAAAGTATTGCCGCGATCAGGTATTAGGCATCAGAAGACCCCAAACAAACAATTCAATGCGAACAAGGTGGGTCGGAATGGAGATCCAAAGCCCATCTGTAGACAATTGGACATACCCTCACAGAAGGGTCACAAGGAAAGGAAGAGCCAGTCAGGGTGCAGTATCACACCAAGGAAACACAACATTCTTCTACTTCTTTAATGCTTCGCACCCCACCCCCCATCATGACCCCAATTCTACCTTACAAATCCGGCTAGACCTGAGCATGTACACTGGTATAAGAACTCTCGACACACAGAATCCAGGATGGATAAACCCCTTAGGAATAATGGAAGTTGCTACCCTACCATGAGGGTAGGGGAAGGTGTGGGGAGAAAGGGGAACCAATTGTAATGACCCTCCCCCATCCCCCAGGGGGACAGCGGATGGCGTAAGATATAAAAATAAATTATCAATGGTTCATGAGGGTGGGAGGATGGGGGAAGGAGGAGTTGATACCAAGGGCTCAATTAGAAAGAAAATGTTTTGGAAATTATGGCAACATATGTACAAATGTGCTTAATATAGTTGATGTATGGATTGTTATAAGAGCTGTAAGAGCCCCCAACCAAATGATTTTAGCTTACCAAAGGCTTGGTGTAAAGAGCTTATTTTCACTTTCCTCAAACCAGAGAGTTACCCTGGGAAGATGCTTTCTCGGTTATCATTTCACGTGAGGAAGTACAATGAGTGTTTCCAAAAGGTAGCTTCTGTTGAGGCTTTCCGTAAAGCATCCGATTACACTGTTCCAGCTGGCAGTGAGTTTGTTTTTTAAGGAGCCCTGGTGGAGGACTGAGTTACCTGTTGGGCTGCTAAGCACAAGGTCAGCAGTTCAAAACCACCAGCTGCTCCACAGGAGAAAGAAGGGGCTTTCTTCTCCCAAAAAGAGTTAGTCTCAGAAACCCGAGGCAGTTCTAGCCTGTCCTATAGCGTTGCTATGAGTTGGAACGGATTCCATGGCAGGGAGCTAGCTTCTCAAGTGTCCTGAGATGAAAGGCAACCGTGAAAGGAGGCATTACACACCCCACTGTACTTCACAAATCCAGCTGAGGAAGAACTTAATGTGCCAGGAGGAATAAATCCAATTAGACCAAATTTGTCAATAATGAATGCATCTTATTGCCTGAAAGTCGGATAGTTAGCACAGATTTTTGTTTTGTTTTCCACCCATCTTTCTTCCAATTATTCTCTTGCCAGATAATCTTGAGAGGGAACCTAATACAACTTGACTGAACTGTTATAATTGCATACATTCTCGCAGACTTAGGAATCTTGGTGTGCTCCACCTCTATCCAGGAACATTGTATTCGTTGCTTCCATTGGGAGCTGCTGAGATCTTCCCAGTGTCATGGGTGGCCGTTACATTTTCACCCCTTTAATTTTAATTTGAATGATGACTAGTATCAGAGGTGACTTTTTATGTGTGCCTATTTGCATGCCTGTTTGGAAAGTCATGGAGCACCAATTTAACAATCTGTTATTAAAGCCTCAGGTCTTATATTCCCTAAAGTAAACAAGTCACACACACACACACACACATGTATCTATCTTTCTGTGTGTGTACGGTGCGTCGTCTTCTCACAGTCATCACCTGGCACAGTACCTCACTGGTGGCCCTGTTCTACTCTTCGAGATTGTCACGTCAGACAGTTAGCACTTCATCAGCAGCAGCCAAGCTCCTTGCTCAGGTGGCCACTGTCCTGGTAATATTCTGTAGTTAGCCACGATCTATTTAATTTCACTCTCTATTCTCTGATTATAGTGCTGCTTAATCTCCTGCATGCATGTTTGTAAAAACATAGATCAAACGGCCCCACAACCAGAGTTTCAGACGTAATAGGTCTGGGATGGGGCTTTGGAGGGTGGTGATGTTGCTGATCCACAGGCCACACCGTGAGAACCACAGCTCTAGAAAGTTTCTTAATGAGTATCCTCAAAATATGCCAAGCTCGCTTTTGGCATAGTTTCATCTACTTAAACATCACATGAAAAAACGTTACATATAATTTTTCTCAGATAAGGTATTGGAGAGGATTCTTTTCCATCGATCACATAGTAAGCATGTTAGAGTTTGGGGTCCTTTAGAGAGTGGTCACCATCTAGTTACAACTGTCAAACCAAGCCCATCCCTGTCTAGGGGGTAATGAGACAAAATCCCTAAGGATCTGATCACACTCATGACAAATCACAATCAACATTCCCAGGTAGGCCTTCCTGGCCCATAAGTGTCTACTCTCATAACTTATGGCATTGCTTGCCCAAATCTGTCTGTCGGCCTATCTGCCTACCCACCCTCAATACACATACCATTTCTCTTTTTGACACAGATACAATCCGGCATCATTACTATCTGTACTTGTTACCGAATATCAAAACAAATGGACACAGTGGCCAAAGCCTATCCTCAGCAGCAGCTGTCACAGAACCTGTTGTTTTAAAAACATCCACCATATTCAGATTTATGGTAACTAGCATCCAAATCCATTGAACTAACCCTTTGTAGTAGCAATGGTAAAAAAAAGAACATCTTGAGACTCCCATTTATCAACACCATTCATCTTTATCTAACTAGAGAAACTAGCTTGAATTTGAGTATCCTCCTTTGACCTTTTGGTAGTTACGTAATCTGGTGTCATTTTGAGAGGATTATGAGTGAAGGGGTGGAGTCTGGCCTGTCAATCAAGATATAACTGGTGAGGCCTCTGTGTGGCATGATTTTTTCCTGAGAATTCTGGGAAATCTGTTTTTTCCTCCTTGGAGGCAGGAGCAAGGCTAATGGCCACCACCCCCTAGTATTGGCTTCTACACGATTCACAGCTGGCCCATTAAGGTGGGTTTGCCGGAAGCATACGCATGCCACAATCTGACCCCAATAGTCTTTGAACCCCACAGTCTTGCTTACTCAAACGCTAAACAATTGGGAAACTCTAGTAACTAGAATTCATGTTTGCAGTCCCATACAATAAGTCATACTCCTAAAGATAGGTCCACAACACTGAAAAGCAAATCTGAAATGCTCCTTGGATAAAATGATATTGTACAGATGCCATATAAAAGTAGAGTCACTTTGCTGGTCCCTACAGCCATCCCTAATGCTATTCTTCAGTCTTATCTGTCAATCTTTCCCAAGTCCAAATCCAAGCGCTTGTATGACCACTTAGTATTACTGAGACCATCCTCATACACAAAAATATGGCAAACATTAGAATATGCCAATACGGCTGGAGTTCTCAAACACTTCCTTGTCTTTAACAGACACAAGGAGCCACCAAGGTGTAAGCCAGTATTTGCTCTTTTGTGTTAATAAAAGCAAAGTAATCCAGTTAATTTTTCATTAGCTTTCCTTATTTAGGTACTATTTGTTTTCAGTAGCTATGAAGTGCAGCTCTGCAGAAAGCCTTCATATTTTGTATCTTAATACATGTGGAAAAGAGAATCTGAGGCTACATGGCACCGTGGGTGCTGTCTGTAGTAGCATAACTGGGCAGGACTAGGACTTTAAGTAGGATGATTACACATTTCCTGTAAACCATCCCCAGGAAGAGCTCATTCTCTCTAGGCTGCGTCCTGACTGGTTCCCATGCTCATCTCGGTCATCAATCACCTGCCAGGCATCTGTCTGGCAGCTTCTCTCTCAGGCAGACCTGCCGGACACCCACTTCTCTGCAACATTTATCATCTTGCCTAAGGAGCTGGTTAAAAAGCTTCCAGATGCTCAAAATGCTGACCTGTCCTGAGTCTGTACAAGCATCGTCCACTCAGTTCCAAAAAAACCACGTTACTACGACTCAGTACAAAAACTAAGCCATCCGTCAGCTCCCCTCTAGCCCTCCTGGCCTGACTCTCTGCTGTTTTCTAGCACTAGACAGCCAGCCCCCTGGAGACTGTGGGGTGTTGATTCTAAGGGGAGGGAAAGAGTACATAAGGCTCAGAACAAATCTGTTCCTCCTCCCCACACGTCCTTTAAGAGGGGCAGAGCATTTTCTGTGATTGATAGGGAGCAGGAGGTGGAGTTGCGCATTGTTTCTGTAGACTACAGACATACCTTGGTTATTGCACTTGCTGTTTTGCACTTCACAGATTGTTTAAACATTTTAAACAAACCGGAGGTTTGTGGCAACCCTGCGTCAAGCAAGTGTATTGGCGTTGGGTCCCCAAGAGCACTGTGTCCCATTGTGGAGGTTCTCTGTCTCTCAGACTTTTTCACACTGTCTCCCACCCTTAACACAGTACAGTCAAGTATAAGCAGGCCTTCTATGTGCACTGGGAAACCCAACATCCACACAAACAGATTTATTGGGATACTTCCCTTAACATCCTGCCATGTTCCCAAGGTTGGTGGACACCTAAGCTCTGGGAGGGTATGATTTGATCCCTAGCGTAATGCCCGCCATTGTCCCAAGTAATTGCCTGGCAGGTCAATGAACACAGAGCATTTCTTCAACCATGGTTTCTCCCCAGACTCTGGATGGCAGGATCTCTGGTGTAGGACAGACCTTGTACGCATGTGGTTTAGGACACTACTCCTCTAAAGGCATTTGCATCTCCCCAAATCCCAGTTTTGTCTTTCACAGTAGGACCTTGTCCTTCACAACACTAGAAGCAGGACCAGGGGACCCTTTGTAGAGGAGCGTGAAGGAGGCAGCTGCAGGGCAAGGGCATTGGGCCTGTGCTGCTGGGAACCCTTTTCAGGACCCGTGAGCACTGCTAATTCAGTGGGGTTGGGGCAGGGGACCCTGTGCTCACCTGGTCCTTCAGTTCGGACAGCTGGCCAGAAAGGTGCGTGACCAGCCTCATGGTAGACTCGAGCTTCTCCTGCAGGTTCCGCAGCTCATTCTGCTCTCCGTCAGCGTCACTGCTGACCAGGGACATGGCTCTCATCCTCGGGAACCAGTCGAGATTCCGATCCTACAGCCACATTGGGGAGAGAAAAGGAAGGGGGGCGGGGTCAGAGACACCAGACAGGCACTCTTGCAGCTGACTGTGCCATCCGAGGGAGCTTCCGGAGGGCCAGTACCACGTTCCATTTCCTACGGACTTTCTGAAGCCCCCCAACCAGCTTGTCCCGAATTTCTCAGGATCATCCTGCACTAGGCTGGAGCACTCTGCTGCAGAACTAACATGCTGGGCACGCTGAGAAGCATTCTGCAGGGAGAACAGTTTGCAAATGCGCAGGAAGTGAACTGCACCGAGGTCCCAGCAAGCTCTTGTCTGTGAGAGACATGAGGATGTGAACATCGGGCTGGGTGAGAGAGGATGGTGAACAGACCCTGGGTGGGGAACCAGTTCCATGTTCCCCTTCCCTGGTGGCAATAAGCTTACAGTGGCATAATGGCTACAGGTTGGACTGTAATCCTCAAGGTCAGCAGTTCAAAACCACCAGATGCTCGGGGGAGGTGGAGTGGGGGGCAGAAGATAGATGGGGCTTTTTACTCCCCTACAAGCTACAGTCTCAAACTCACAGAGGCAGTTTTATCCTGTCCAATAGGGTCGCTATGAGCTAGCATCAAGATGGTAGTGATTTTTTTTTTGAGTAAGCTATGGTAAAGGAGCACTGGTGGCACGGTGGTTAAAGCGCTGGGCTGTGACTTGAAAGGTCAGGGGCGTAAACTTCTTAGTCACGGTGGGAGACACCTGTGGGAGTAGGCTCCTACAGAGGTGAGCCTTGGGAGCCCTCATGGGCAGTGCTACTCCGTCCTGTTGCTGGCCATGACTCCACAGCAATGGTGGCAGGAGCCTGTGCGCAGTGGTTTCTCATCCGACGATGCGAACGGGCCAGGGCCTCCCACTCCGCTTCCTTCTACCCACACGCTCCTCACCCTAGAGAGCAGCTGCCTCCCGAGCCAGTGCAGAGGCTGCGGTGGCAGTAAGCAAAGCTCAGCCAGCACGAGAAGACTGACCCATCTGAGCTCGTCACGTCTGATTCTAATACAAACCATGTCCCACTCCCATCACATACACTTAAAAATAGTTTGCTATTGCTTTGGATGGCAGCAAATATTTTTCTATACAGTAATGATTTTTGTCTTTGTTGGCTATGTCTCTTTGAGAGACTCTGTCACAACTACTCTGCAGGTATAGCTTCAAAACAACCACAGACAGGAGGCAATATGTAAATTATTGGTATGGCTACATTTCAGTAAAACAAATACTAGTGGCAGGGCAGCTTTGGACCACTGGACCGAGCTTGCTAACCTCTGTAGTTCCTGATGGAAGTGTAAAGAGAAGCAAAATTCCACAAGTCCAAGTACTCCAATAGTCCTAGTGATGTAGTGGTTAAGTGTCAGGCTGTGATCTGCATGATCGGCAGTTTGAAAGCAGCAGTAGCTCCACAGGGGGAAGACTGGGCTTTCTACTCCCATAAACAGTCTCACAAACCCATAGGGGTCGCTCTGAGTCAGCATTGACTCCAGGGCAGTGAGTTGGGTCTTCTTGGAAGTACTACAAATGAAGTGAGACAATTTTACTGTCTTGACATGAGGCCATCTAGCAAGACAGAAACCAGAGAGGAACGAGTTGGAAAAATCTTACTAAGAGGCACACTGCGTTGGCATGCGGCATCACATCTGCTTCAGAGCATTTGCTAAGACACATGGGGCATCTAGTGGGCGGATCTCGATAGCCTGTCACCTCAGTATAGTAATTAAAATGTAGTAAACGCCTGATAAATATTTATGGAAGGAATGGAAGGAATACTATTCATCTGTTTCCTGCCTGGGCTGTGATGGCAAATGTCTAACTAGTGAACCTGAGTTCATGGTGAATGCTGAGAAGGAAAGTGACATTTTCTCCCCTCCTGCCTCTCACCTGCTTATAGTGGTGACTTCTGTGCGGCTGTGATGGTGCAGCCCACCAGCACGATTACCTGTGGTGTACAAGTGTCAGTGGAAATGGCAGACAAAGGCAACCTAGGAAGAAAGGCCTGGCTACCTACTTCTGAAAATTAGCCAGTGGAACCTATGGGTCAAGACTGACACTGTCCGACTGGCCAGTGAAACTTATGGCTTATATACTGGCTGGCTTTGGCCATGTCATCAAGGGATCGGTCACTGGAGGGGCATATCAGGCTTGTAGAGTCAGGGGCAGCCTTAGGAGAAATCAACTGACACATGAACAAGCAGCCTTTCCACCCCTAGTCAGGGCTGACTCAACAGCATCTAACCAAACTGTCACTAGCACCAATTTCCCAGACAAACACTTGTTTCCATGTGACTTGATGTTCGCCTATATTTATCTTTATCAATTTTCCACCCCAGAGCAATGGGCAAGAAACCATTTCAAACAAGACTCCATTTCACAGACAATCAGTTTAAAAACTTCAAAGTGTTGCCCTGTGTATAGAATTTTCTCTGCACATTCACAACCAAAAAAGGGGTGGGGGTAGGGTGTGTGTGTGTGTGAACAGGCATCTGAAAACATGTTAGTGTGGTAGAGACTCTGAAAGGCTGCTGAGGTGACCTGTGATGGATTTCATGGCTGGCTCCTGTAACTCCTTCAGCCATATTCCAATCGTCCCACCAAGGAATACTGAGGTTCACGTACATACAACCACAGAGCTGGAGAGCTCCCAGGGAGGAGGGAGTTTTAACTTTAAGAAGAGGGCACACAAGAGGCGCAGGTACTGACTCACTGAAATGAGGCACAGCAGCTCCCCTGAAGGTAAGGGCTGGGGGGAGAGGGGAGAAGAAGCCATTTCAACCCAAAGCCAAGCTGCTGAGATCATACAGCAGAAGGACAGTTATCAGAGGCCTGTGATACCCACAGGCTGACCCCGATGGGAAGAACAAATCAGAGGGGAGCCACCCCAAAGTCCCACCAACTCTCAAACTCAGAGGGACATAGGGGCACAGCCTCCCTCGGGCAGGAGGGAGCGGCACCAGTGTACCCTCTGCAGACAAAGCGGGCCCTGGAAGGCAGACTCACTGGTCCTCACCGATCGTGCACATTCCAGGCTTTCAAGAGATCTTACTCATGGTAAACTGTTGGTATTGAGTATATTGGGTGGTTCAATAAATATATTTTTCTTTTTTTTTCTCAGTCTATGCCTAGAACTGAATTTAGGGTGTGTCCTTAAATGGGACGTTTTCTTGTCTATTTCTGTTTCTAGTAACTTCCAGCAATAATGAGAGCCCCAGGCTTGTAGACAGATCTAACTCTGCTGTCTGTACCCCTCGCAACTCTCCTTGTGCACCTCTGCATCTGTTCTGCTCCCCACATTGTGGTAAATATGTATGTACATAATAAAATGCCATGTCAACGTTCATCGCGTTCAATTATCACCCGTGTCTGGTCCCCAATTTCTACATCAGCGACCGTTCTTTTGAGTCACTAGCCTGAGCGCTAATCACCCTCTTAGGAGAAATCCAAACTCACTGGCATTGCGTCAACTCTGACTCATAGCAACCCTGCCGCCCCTGTGGGTTTACAAGATTAACTTTTTATGGCAGTAGAAAGCCTTTCTTTCTCCCTGGGACAGGTGGGTAGGTTCGAACTGCTGACCTTATGGTTAGCAGCTGTGTGAGTCTGGGTAGACTAGAGAAATCCATGGACATACATATATGTACAAAGAAAGAGATTTATATAGAAGAGCAATTGAACATTGAGAAAACATCCCAGTCCAGATCAAGTCCATAAGTCCGATATTAACCTATATGTCGGATACCAATCTATCAAGTCCACTTCAGACTCACAAAACACATGCAATGACACCAAATGTAGAAAATCACAGGCCAGTGTGATCCAAAATTCTTTGGATCCAGTGGCATCGGAAACATCTCCGCACTGGCAGGGGTCTCCCATCTCCAAGGAGGAAAATCCCAGAATTCTCAGGAGAAGGCCACACAAGAAGCCTCATTGGCTATGATCGATTGACAGACTAGACTCCATCCCTTCACTCAAAATCCGCTCAAATTGACAATTATGTAACTACCATAGCAGCCCAACAAGTAACCACTGCACCACCAGGGCTCCTCCTCTTGGAAGAAGCTATGTTTGAACATGTAGGAAATGCAGCTTAGGGAACCCCCCCCCCCCCCCCTGTGTTTGCTGCTGAGCACAGAGCAGAGCACCTCAGAAAGGAAATGGCTGTGATATGGAAGTAGGAGGTAGAGCTCCTGTTACCAGAGAGCTTGAGATTTAGTTATCGAGAGCAGGCACCTTGATGAAAACTGAGCAAGAGACACAAAGGGGACAAAGCAGGCCACTGAGCGACTCCAGCGCCACGTGGCAGAGAACTATCCCATAAGGCTTTCTTTAAAAATTCCGTATTCCAGACTCACCGCCATCAAGGTGATTCCAAGTCTCGCAGACTCTATAGGACAGGCTCTAACTGCGCAGTAGGTTTCTGAGTCTAAGTCCTCACGGCGCTAGATAGCTTCTTCTTTCTCCTGTGGAGCCGCTGGTGGTTGCTATTTGCTGCGGCACTCAGCCCCCAAATGCTACTGCCTGGTTCTGCACCATCCCCAGGATCAACTGCGGATTAGACTTTCCTGATCTACAGGGGTTTTGCTGGATGTTTTTCGGAAGCAAGTCACCAGGCCTTTCTGCCTCATCTCTCTTAGTCTGGAAGCAGCATTGTAACACATAAGTCCCTCTGATGGACGGGTACAGGGGGTGGGCGCGTGAAGTGCACTGGCTGGGTCTCTTGCATGAAAGGCAAGCATTCTACCTTTTGCCACTCACACAAATGCCCTGGAAGAGGCTGTGAAACAGATTCATATTATAAAGATAAAACCCAAGACTTGAAAGGAGGTGGAAGCTGTGGGCCACTTTGGGGCCATGGCTGGGGATTCAAGGCGTGAGCCCATCAGCTCCATGCAGGAGGAGCCTTCTGTGCACAGCGGGAAAAGGATTTCCTGTCTAGATATTTATCATTGCCACCATGTAGGTTCTCTCCCATCATCTCCTTC